TACACTACAATACAAGAGTAACAGTACGCGTTAATCACATTATGTGTCAATGTTCTCGCTGAACGTCACCGTTCAGCATACACATACGCGTATATATAGAGATATGTTGTATACATTTATATATATATACATATATATATATTATGATACCACTTATTCGTACACATTTGTGCGGTTCTCTGTCTAGATCGAAAATTCTCCCTGTCGATCTTTTCGTCGCGCGCTCGGGATACGCGAAAGAGCAGAAAAAAAGATATAGTTTCTCTCTGTCTGTCTGTTTATATACAATTTATTTCAGAAAGATAAGTAATAGCATATATATAGTACATCTATTCACCACGTGTTTCGACAGCACGTAGGAAATCCGTCGGCTCGACGATGACGACGACGGTGATGATTATCGGGAAGCCGGCGCAAAAGAGATTTTGCTTTTTGATTCCTCGCTGAATCGAGGATTCCTTCAAACGCGAGGATGATTTGATGGAGAGAGGCAGAGAGCTTGGAGGAAGGGAGTAGAGACAAATGAGAAAGACCGAAGGGCTTCTTATTTGCGCTATCTTCTCGATATGTCGTCCTCCTCGGGACGGCGAGTTCCTCGCTCTTGATACTCGTGCACACGTGCGAGGACGACTGGCATTTACTTTCGCTGTATCTCTTATATATCATTGAACTCATTGTCTACTCGCTGTGTAAAGAATAAAGAATGGAAAACGATAAAAGGATTCTCCCGTGTGATCGACAGTAAATGCCACGTTCCGTGCGCCAGTTCAAATAGAGTTACGCTGCTTTTATCCCGTTTTAGGACCTTTAGGAGAGCAGCAATATTTTCGATCGATACCATTTAAACTATACAATACCGTTCCATGTTTATTCGTTATCCCGTTCACTATGAACCGCGCGTGTACGATAACGCACGATCGGCCGAACGCCCACATGGAAGAGTCTCGCCCGCGTTCCTTTAGGATCTCATTTTTCTTCTTTTTTTTCTCTTTCAAATGCGACAACTCTCTCCTCAAGAGAGTGGCCTTTTTTCTTCTTTGTATAAGGGAGCGATAGACAAGGGGCATTCAAAGACTTTTTTATCATGAACGAAAGGGTGCTTCGTCCAGTTAGTGAACGCAAGCGAGCACTCTCTCCTTTCGTGGGCCGCGAGGCTCATATTTGCTGGGCATTCACCTTCATTTTTACATTACAGATAAAGTACTGGCCACCCTAGGAGAGGGTACTTTTGGAAAAGTTGTCAAGGTTAAGGACTTGCAAATGTAAGTTCCAGTTCACATAAGTACATAGGTAACATAACTTCGCGTTTCGCACTGTCTACTCATATCTTTCTCTTTCTCTTTCTCTCTACCTATTTATTTTTATTTATCTCTTTTCGCCTCGGTTCTTCGCGCGTCATCAATTCGCGCGCCGAGGAAAATCCTAAATGCGCGCGTTGCGCGACGTACCACAGGCAGAAATAGCCATCCGGCACTGTCACAAAATAACACGCGAGTAGTTGCAATAATAGGATGGCCTTGCACTTTGTTTTACGGGCTGGGCGTTTGCGACGGCCACGAATTAGATCTCTTTAGCAGAATACGAAGTTACGGCAAACGTCCGCGTGAAAATATTCTCCAGCTTCGTCCTCATAGGATATGGGATTTGAGCTGGCGGGAGATAGTTTTAATATCAGATATCATGATCGATGTTACATTCTAGGGATCATGTGATGGCTCTGAAGATTATTAAAAACGTGGAAAAGTACAGGGAAGCAGCAAAGCTAGAAATAAATGCTCTTGAAAAGATCGCTAATAAGGATCCAGAAGGCCAGCAGTTAGTATTTAATTGTTTTATTTATTCTTTAATCTTTAAGTATCTTTGCGATGTAAAGCTACTCTAGGATATTTTGTTTTAATATGTAAGGTTTATGAAACGGCGATAATTCACTATTATTTCATTTCAGTCTATGTGTAAAGATGCTCGATTGGTTCAATTATCACGGACACATGTGTATCGCTTTCGAAATGCTCGGTCTGAGTGTTTTCGACTTCCTGGTAAATATTGAACTTTATGACGAATTGGATGCATTAGTACGCACTGGTGTAGAAACCAAATGTATATTAGTCTATCTACATACAAAAACATAATATAAATGTCTTGATTGATGAAATGCTTAATATAGATTTTATTGAACACACAGTGTAATTGTATTGAACATCTCGCGGTCCAATTCGTTTATGTACAATGCACACGCTTTTACATCAATTTATATATGATAGTCTTTAAGATATAGTACTAGTCAAACCAAATTTGCTATTAGACTCTGACGCTATCAGGTCTAAGATATTGATGAAGTTATTTTTACAGAGAGATAACAGTTACCAGCCATATCCGTTGGAACATGTTAGGCACATGGGCTATCAACTTTGTTACGCTGTTAAGTTTTTACATGATAACAAGCTTACGCACACGGATCTTAAACCGGAGAACATCTTATTCGTAGATTCGGAATACGACAGCACATATAACAACAAAAAGGTATGCTATTGTTAATATTTTCTATTATCAATTTACCAAACCTCGATTTGGCATATAGAATAAGCTTCATTCTAAAGTGTTTCAAAAAAAGCTTTTTCTTTTTAAGCGGAGAGACATGAGACGCGTGAAGCGAACCGACATCAAACTTATTGACTTTGGTAGCGCTACTTTCGATCACGAACATCATAGTACAATCGTTAGCACAAGACATTATAGAGCACCCGAAGTGATTTTAGGTGAGGTGCTCCTCTTAAAATATTCTTTTGATCACGGCACATACCTTTGTATCGCTGTTATTATTAATCTTATATTTTTCTGTACGTAGAATTGGGCTGGTCTCAACCCTGCGATGTTTGGTCCATTGGTTGCATCTTGTTCGAGTTATACCTGGGCATCACGTTATTCCAAACACATGATAATCGCGAGCACCTGGCGATGATGGAACGTATACTTGGCACGATACCACATCGCATGGCTCGCAAAACTAAGACCAAGTACTTCTACCATGGCAAACTGGATTGGGATGACAAGAGTTCGGCCGGTAGATACGTACGAGATAATTGCAAGCCATTACATGTTAGTATTTTGATTTAACTTCAATTAAATTCCTATATCAAATTATGAATTAAAAAAGACTCAAATAGCGAGACTAGAGCGAATAAAAATTTAAAATGTAGATTATAATTTGTTTAATTAATGACAAAATAATTTTCGATATATAATGTAATTTTTGGTTATTCATAAAATAATATATATTTTTGTGTCTGTACAGCGTTATATGCTGTCTGATGATGAAGAACATCGTCAGCTGTTCGATCTGGTTCAACGAATGTTGGAGTACGAACCCTCGCAACGTATTACTCTGAAGGATGCGTTGACTCATTCGTTCTTCGACGCTTTACCAGCATCCCAGAGATTGCCTGACCCGCGAGCAGCTGGTGATTCTCAACAATCTCACGAACGATCACATTCACTCTCTCGATGAAGCTAGGAAAGGGACCGATCTCCGTGCTGGACAGACACTCCACTTTCAACGACACTACTGCCCTATGTCTTCGTTCTAATATCATTAATTTTTATGAAAACATGTCTATCGTAACTACGAGATCCGATGATGTGACGATGCGAACGTTGATTTTGAAAAATAGTGCGTGTATGTGTGTATAAATACTGATCATTGGAATTCCTCATTTCATCTGCACTCAGCACTGATTTAATTTGAAACCATATAGAGGAACTATATATAGAGAAAGCAGTAGTGCGGTGGTGCCGTGGAACTTGGACTAATTCGATATATCTAACGAACGATCAGATTACTACTCGTTGCCCGATAAGCTCCTGGGTGATCCGCGTTTGTTTTTATCGCATGTCTACCATGAGACAAGTTTTTGTCTATCATGAGACAAGCGACAAGGTCCCTGTTACTGGCACGCAAAGGCCAGTGTGTCTGCTCAGTGTAGCGTAACAGAGTCCCACAATTGTAAACAATTTTTTAAATGCTCTTCTGTACATTTTTTGTCCCTTAAATTTATTACAATATTACTAGATATAAATGAATTTGGAATAAAGATCACTTTCGGGGTCAACAGTTCATAATCTGTTTTGAATTGACGACTATGAAGTGTTTTGACAGTAAGTATCGGACTAGTGAAAAAATAAAATGGATAATAGTTTTACTCATACACGTCAATGAGTTGACAGAAATTGAGAAAAAGCGAGCGAGAGAGGAAATGTGTGAATAACAATCACCACAATTCATCGTTGTGAATTATATACATCTTGAAATGTAAGAATACATAATTGTCTTAGAAAATATTCTCTCAAACAATTCTTTTATTCATTTCTGATAAGTCCATCATACAACATAACCTAAGTTGAATAAGCATAGCATAAGGCCGCTGGACTAATGAATATCTTATAACTCTTATGTAAATCAATATGTCTTTATGCTGGATGCTTATTGATCTGATAGCATTGTGCATGTTTATACAGCTTATGTTTGTGTGTAGTAGAATACACATTGAATTCGGGAAAAGAATTTGCAAACTTATTCGCGATGTATGTGCAGACTTAGCATCGCCTCGTAAATTCTTGGCCTAATTAAGTAATATTTTTTGTCGATTATTGTCTTGTGAAGATTTAAATTAAATTAATGACGTATATTGAATATTGCGAAAAATAATCGAACATGAAGAAGCAATCTTCACTTTTTTGTCACAGACTTTTCATTTGCACAACTGTCATCCGTATAAGTTTTGTTTGATCTTAGTTATACTAAGTCTACGAAATGAACAATATTATAGCTACTGTTCGTCAAACGCGATTGAGAATATCTAGGATGTTCTGCAGAAAACAAAAATATTTCTAGTAGCAATAAATACATTTCTTTCAAAGTAGCGTCGATATTTATTTGTTTAACCAGCAAATCAATTCTTACATCGAACTTGTATACTTTTTTATTTGCAAAAAATTCCTTCATATTAAACACAAATTCATTCTTGCGAATTTTAATAATTAAATATTGATCACGTTTGCACATACTTGTTAGAAATAAGCCCGGTCAACAGACTTTAAAAAAGCGAGGAAGATTCCCAAAGAATTCTCTAAACATGTATATTATTATTTCATAGATCCGAAATAATCAAATAAGTATAAAATCAAAGATAAAAATCAAATTAATGAAAGTATTACATTGTTGGCCATGAATAAACTGGAGGAATTGCCGATTTATAGCTTGGATCGTATAATTGTGCCTTGATAAAACTCTCGTAATCTGAAGGCTCCGGATAGACAGTTGCTAGAGCTGTGTATAAAAAAAAATGTATGAATAATTTATATTATGTAGCAGAATATATGAGACGCTTTGTTTGTCTTCTATCTTTTCTAACACATTTGGAGTATTTATACTCACATTTTTCATAAGCATATTTCATGATTGCACATGCTATACACAACGAACATTTCTGTATATCGGCCAATGGTGGGTAAAGATTACCGCTGTCCAAATCGGCTTGCGTTACCAAGTCGGAGAGAGCCGTCGCAGCAATAAGGAAAGTTTCCTCGGGAATGGTGCGCATACCAGCGCATATTACGGCCAGCGCGATTCCAGGGAATATGTAACTATTATTACCTTGACCAGGATAGTAAGTTTTATTGTTATATGTGACTGGTGGAAAAGGCGAGCCGCTTGCGAATAAGCATCTTCCCTGCGCAATTCAAATAATGCTTGATTAAAATTATTCAGGAAACGTCAGCAAAATTTCATATTAAAAATTTATTTTTCAATGAATGTAGAGAATTATTCTCACAAGTTAACTTCTTACCTCTGTAGCAATATATGCTTCTTCCGCGGTGCACTCTGCTTTGCTCGTTGGATTACTCAGAGCGAAAATAATGGGTCTCTCATTGATACGCGCCATTTCCCTCAATATTTCTGTTGTGAAGGCACCCCTGATAGCAGCTGCGCCAATAATAACCGAAGGTTTGGCGGTCTTAACAACATTGAACAGAGTGTCGATTGGCTTATCCTCACGAGCAAAGTGCAATTTATGCTCCGTCAGTCCGCCTTTTGGACGATCTTTCACTATCAATCCTTTCGAGTCTACCATCCAAATTTTGCTCTTAGCTTCTTCCTTAGTTATTCCTTCTTTTAGCATTGTCATCACGCACAATGCCGCGATACCTAATGACGCCTACAAATAATTCATCAAAGTGTATTCTACTCTTCGAATAATCTATAACACGACTAAGGTATCTATTCTGTATCTCTTACCGACTATAATATCATTATATTTTCGTTGCGCAGCTTTTTTACTATATACAAAACCTGTGCAATGACAATGTAACAATATTGTTACAGTCGTTAAGAATTACAGAATAGGCCCTTAAAACACAATTGTGTTTTTGTCGACAGTTAACATATTCTCTAGTAAAAATTTTTCTCTAGTAAGAATTTTCAAAGAATTTGTTAGAATTTCTAAATAATTTTATAACTCTTTCTGAGGAAATTTCTCAGATTTTTTAAATACAAATTCGAAGTTCTTCGTACATATAATATGTATAAATATACATATAATATGTATAATATGTATAAAATGAAATATTCTAAGATTTCTTATTCTATATTTTTTAAAATTTTATAAGATTTCATCAGAGAGAGAAATTACAAAACATTACAGAAATTTTAGAATATTTCAGAATTTATATGAAGAATTCTAAGAAAAGATATATATACTTTAAAAGATATAACTTTCTCAATTTTTCTGAAAAGTGTTCCATTTCGTAAAATTCTGAAAAAATTTTTCATCAGGATGAACTGAATATTTTGATAGTAACCTCTCCAGCACCCTGAAATACGATTGTATTCTCTGAGAGCTTTGTCTGCGTAACACGAAGTGATGCCAATAACCCGGCAACAGCGACAGAGGCGGTACCCTGAATATCATCATTAAAGGTGCAATATTCCTTGTGATATTTTTGAAGCAATCTGAACGCATTAACATTTCCGAAGTCTTCGAATTGAATTAACGTATTCGGACCAAATCGCTTCACAACAGCCTTCATAAATTCGTCCACGAAGTCGTCATACTCTTGTCCAGTAACACGTTTGTGTCTGTGACCGATATATAGGGGATCATTCAACAAAGACTGCAAAAAGAATATAAGATTCAAATGTATAGATTTAAGATTAAAGAAGAAATTAATGCGAAATATTTATGAAAAAATATATTATTTTTTATGTTTCACATTCATAACGAGGGAATCAATGAAGGCGTTTACCGTAGATGTGATGTATTTTCGCATACCTGGGTATTAGTGCCGACGTCCAAAGTGATAGGCAAACAATGATGGGGTTTGATACCAGCTAATGCGGTATACAATGACAATTTACCTACGGGAATGCCCATGCCGTGAGCACCTAGGTCACCCAATCCCAATATTCTCTCACCGTCCGTGACAACGATTGCTCGTACGTCGTGTTCGGGCCAATTTTTCAAAACGTCATAGACATAGCCTTTATCGTGAATGCTTATGAAAAGGCCACGCGGCCTACGGTAAACCAGACCGAATTTCTGACATGCTAAACCCACGGTCGGCGTATATACCAATGGCATTATTTTATCTACATCTTCTGCCAACAAACGGTAGAAGAGTTTCTCGTTTCTATCCTAAGGAATAAGATCCTATGTGAGAATCAACGCATATGAGAAGAGCAGGCCTGATCAAGCGGGGACGGGGGAGACCACTAATATAGCGTCTCCAATCAAGCGACAGCGATAACTGTCGTGTTCATGTACCAGTAGGCCTATGAGATATATGTATTTTGAGAGATCATCCGTGTAGTGTTCCAGATTAAGACGACAAAGCTCTAACTGTTCTTCTTGGGTTTTTACGGCTGCCGGTAGAAGACCATGTATACCCAGTATCTGCCTTTCCTCAATACTGAACGCCATACCCTGAAACGTGATAATAACACATTAAATACAGCACTTAAAACGAAATTTTAAAAAAATTTACTGAACAGCTCTGTCTTTCTTAAAAATTAAAAAATATAGAAAAGAAAAAATGCAATAAATTTATAATCCTATTTTATTTATCAAAATATATTTCAATTGTCTTGATTATTCGGACTATTTCTACGAACAACATCGAACGTTGCACGTGTATCGCTGTCGTTCCTTTTCTTGCAATATTGGCAAAAAATTAATTGATGAGTCAGAATCAGAGCATCAGACTAGACTTTGACCTTCAATCAAAAGGAATGATACTGTAACTGTTAACAGTATTAACAGCAGTCATTAGTAAGCATGGGTGAAAGGTGATCAGCTGATCGTCGTACCACTTCGATTTTTACAAATGCTAATATTGCATAAACGTTACATCTAGTGATCGTGATTTAAATATATTATGTAGTGTATGTGTGTGTGTGTGTGTGTGTGTGTGTGTGTGTGTGTGTGTGTGTGTGTGTGTGTGTGTGTG